TGATACCACGTATTTAAATGCTTGATTATTTTTTAATAATATATGTCTTTATATATGTTTTTTTTTTTTTTTTGTTATTTATATTCTGTTGCTAGAGTTAGGTGCATGAATAGTTGTTTTGGTATAATTTTTTCTATTTATTTGTCCTAAACAAGCTTAAGAGATTGTGTTTAAAAAAAAAAAATTTCCTAACTTCTTGTTTTTTTTTTCTATGTAGGTTGCTCACTCAATTTTAACCTAATGAAGTTTTACAAATGCATTTTGTTTAAATCATTATGAAAATATGTGCTTAAGATTTTAATTTTTTTATATAACTTTATATCCATACTGCATTCTTTAGACCACTTATGTTGCTATCTACTTGCTTTTACATGGTTAAATCTTTTCATTAACCATATTAGCATTTTAAATAAGATGGATTTATTCTAGATTTTTCATGATTTAATTTAACAATCTTGCTTTTTGGGTAGTAGCTAGCAATATCTAAAATAAAAAAAATAAAGTATATATATATGTTCAACTTTTTTTTTAAGTATATACATTCACGTATATACATACAAAAAATATTGCATTTTCCTATCTCTTTGAATTTAAATAATAACATAAATACCAACATGCTAATATTTCCTTGAAAGTTTAAGGATTGTTTAAATTATTAATAGTTACATTTTTAATTGACAATAAATTATGATTGTTAATGAACCATTGTATTATTTTTCAGTATACCCATTTACTTTAGTAATATAGCATTTCATGATAAAACATTTGTTCTATTTTTTTTAAATGGGCATAGTGTGAGTTCAACTCTAATTATTGCAAAAGAAATCAAGGATCATTTCCAATGTGCATGACTTAATTATATTATTTTGTCATTTTATTATACTATTGAAATTACATTTAAAAATATTTTTTATTTAAAAGATTTTTAAGAACTTCATTATCAATTTTATTATTTTTTTTTAAAAGAACTAAATTTTAATTTCAAATTTTATGTTATTATTTTTATAAAATTTTCACTTTTATATTATTGCTTGAAAATAAATGTAAATTATCATTATTAAAGTTTTATCTATAATTTTTCACCATTAGGTCAATTTTTTTCAAAATTTTATGACATTTTACTTTTGCTCTAAAATTAATATCAATTATCGTTTTTAATTTTTTTCTAAAATTTGGCTATAATTTTTAAAAAATATCTCATCTAAAATTTTATTAGAAAATCAACCATTCATGATTATTAAAAATTTCATTATTGAAATATTTTTATTTATTTTCAAAATTTTATTACATATTTTCAAATTTAAAAAATTATTATTTTTTAACTAATCAAAGTCTACCTTAATTTAAAATTTAAATAAATAACAGATTAAAATAAATTTTAAAAACACAAAAGTAATTAAATAAAAATAAAAAATAAAGTAAAATAATCAAGAATAAAAGTAAAGAATAAAGGTATAATAATAATTTAATAATATTGAATATGTGTCACTTTAAGAATTCTTAGGGTCGTTTGATTTCGAAAACTTAAATTCTGAAAGGAAAATGATCTTCAAATAAGTGTGGATTCATAAAAATAAGCGATTCTTCATGTTATAGGAATATTATATTTCTGTGTTTGGTTCAAGGGAAAATTAGATTATGTAATGAAGATTTTTTATTATAATGACCTTCATTACATGTAAATAACATGTAACCTACATTTCAACTACCTATTATATTATTAAAATTAAACTTATGATAACCATTAAAGAACTAAAATAAAAAAAGTTTTTATTTTCATAATGTTAAAAATAAGCTGATTTATTACAAATAAAGAAAAATTATATTTTTTCAAAAAAAAAGAAAACATATATAATAAAATCAATCACGTAATGTTTGATTAAAAAAGATTTACAATAATTACGTGTATAAAAGTAAAAATATAATCTTTTATTGAAAATAAAGTTGTCTATTAGTACATTTACGAAAATAGAAACGTTCATTTTTCTTGAAAAAGAAAAAACTAAAATTACATTTTTGAAAGTAAAAACGTAATATTTAATTAAAAAATTACAAAGATTAAGTTTTTGTAAGTAAAAACAATCTTTAAAATATAAATTTTACAAAGATTACGTGTTTTTTAAATTGATAGTAATTTTTATTAAAAATAAAATTTACAAAGATTACGTTTGTTCATGTAGAGTTTTTGATTAAAAAAATTTCAAAGACAACATTTTTAAAAATAAAAACATAGTCTTTTATTAAAAAAATTACAAATATTATGTTTTTGTAAGTAAAAACATAATTTTTGATCATAAAAATTTTTATAAGAACTATGTTTTTAAAACTATATACATAGTTTTTAATTGAAAAAACAAAAATGCTATGTTTTCCAAATTATAAACGCAGCCTTTAGTGAATTAACCTTCTATTATCATTCCAATCCCTTCGAATTCTTCTACTTTCAGAATTGAATTTATGGCCGTTAAGGGAGAGCATTAGTCAGTTTTATCCGAATAAATCGACGAAAAATGGAAATTTAATTAAATTAGATTCGGTTTTATGGAGTTTTTCAGTTTTGTCGGTTGTAAGATCAGTTTTGATGGTTTAATCGATCGATTTACAGTTTTATATCTCATACCCTTTTGCCCAACCCATTTATGCTATGAATCCCTAAATTTCCTTCCTTTCTTTCTCTCCCTCACACATGCAGCTCAGCACTCCCAAACTCTCAGGCCTCCCCTGACGCCTCTTTGCCCTCTCAACCCTCTATTGACCCTTATGCCTCTCAGTTTATTTATTTGGCAAGAATATTTTATATCTAAAGCAAAACAAGGAAAGAAGTGAGCTGATCAAGATTTTGATGATGTTGTTGTGACTACATTGCTCACCAATTTCAAATTTCTCAGCATACCTAATTCCTGAGGCTGCAACACAATCTGCAGCAACCACTACTTGTGGCTCTGGAGTAATTGCAGTTGCTTTCGATCCGACTCGTGGTGGTACTGTAATTGCTGGTGTTATTGTTGAGGGTACTTGTTTGATCTTTCAAGTTAATTTTTGAAATTTCTTGCTGTTCTTATAACAGAGCTTATGTGTAATGTTTGAATAATTTGTTGTTCATACTTCTTGAAAAATCTTGAAAATATCAGTCCATGGAAGTTTTTTTTTACAGATTGACTGTTCTGCCTTATCTACAATGTACAAAATTGAAAATTAATCAATCTATTTAGATTTGGTTTTTTTTTTTTTTTTTTGTTTACTCTTTAAATAGGTCGATTCGATTTTTTTTTTAAATTAAATCGATTAAATCAAGTTTTGAATTTTTACAACTTTTAAATTTTTATAATCGAATTAACTGAATAGATTAGATATTTACCCTAACGACCGTTTCATCAGTGTAGGAAGAGAAGGCTTTGCCAATCTTGGTGCGTTCAGATGTTGGTTCTTCTGGGTATTTAAATATATAAAATACGTAGTTTAAATAATTTTTAAATTTAAAGTTTTAAATTATTATTAATTAATTACCAATCACATTTTCAAATTAATAAACATGATTTTTGTTAATAAATAATATATTTTTAAGTATCATAAATATTTTTTTTAAATTATACCAACATCTACATTTTTCATATTATAAACATTGTTGATATGAAAATATTTATATTATTTTATTATCATTTTAATTGATAACGTTTCAAATAAAAAAAAAACTTATTGCTCTCTAAAATTAAAAAAAACATTTCAAAAACATAAAATTACTACTATGTTTGTTCTTTTAAAATCATTGTTTTTATTATATGTAATATATTAAGCGTACAATCTAATCTATGATTAGGATTGCATTTTTACCCAATTTATGGCTATAAATGCTTATTTTTGTGTTAGAATGTATCTTCATTTATCATATAATTATGTCGATTTTTAAAAATAAAATAAATTAAAAAAATTTTATTATTGAAGTAAAATGTTAGACAATTAATTTTCCTTTTGAAATATTAAAAAATTATAAAAAAATGTAAGATTTTTATTTTGAGATATTTGAATACTATTAAAAATCTTATAATACTCTTAAGAATCAAATACTATGAATCAAATAAATATATATATATATAATTACGAAAAATAAGATTTTAGAGAGAAATCTAACTTTTTTCCAAACCAAACAGCCCCTTAAAAGATTCTTTTAATCTAAATGTACTAGAGATCTGAGGGGAGAGTCTATCAATTAATTGGTAAATATCATTTTTGTTGTGGTAATGATAAAGAGAGATGAAAAAGGATAATAAAAAAATGTCAAAGAAAAAAAAAAGAACAGATAAAATCTATTTTATCACTTGCATAGTAATGTTGGCACAATGAAATTTATGCATGAGAATCTGTATATTACTTATTTTGTATTAAATATATATAAAATATGAAAAATTATTATATTATAATTTATGTTTAAATATAAAACATATATTTTTATTTTTATTAAACTCATAAATAATTTTTATTAAAATATTAAATCATGTCATTTTTTATCTTTTTTCCTTATTGAATCATTATATCATACTTAAAATTATTAAATTTAACAAAATTCAACAATAAAAAAACAATCACTACTAAAAGGGGAGGGGCTACCCTCGACATAATTAAGAATGACAATCTAATCCGTGTATGACAAATTCCTACCTATCCTCTTAAAGTTGAATTTTTTTTTAATCGAATTTTCAATCAAATCGAATAATATAATAGCAAATAAATATCAAAATCGGATTAAGATCGAATTTTAAATAAATCCAACTTGACTCGATATAAATAAAAAATTTATTTTTATTAATTTTTTAATTATATATATTTATTTATTTTATATTTATATTAAAAAAATATTTTTATTTAAAAAATAATATTTTATTAATTTTAAATCGAATTAAATCAAATATGATTTATATGATATCGAATCGAATTCAAATTTAAAAAATTAAAAAAAAATTATTGGATCATGCTAAAGTATTGTAGCTAAAGTATTGTGGGTATAAATTCAAATTGGATTCAAGATTGAACAAAAATTCATCTCGATCCGACCCGTTGTAATTCCTAATCATAACTCATCAATGTTGGTGAAACATGGGGAAAGAAGGAAAATAAACAAAGGGACTTGCATTCTACGCTGAGCATTTCATATCAGAGTTCATACAACAGTTTCAAGTGGGGAACTCTAGCATAGAATATTCAAGACCAGAAAAATAACATTCAACAGCAAAGCATTATCTGCATCCTCAGAATAATGCTTCGATATCTCCAGGATCACATCAGAAAGCTCATTGCTTCCAAGATTTCTATATAGCTATTCTTTGTAATCAAATGTTTCACCGCATGTTTTCTCTGCGACGCACGTAACGAGTCCTGTCGTTGTATCTTGGTCTGTCTTGCGCTCTCTGGGGCTGTGGTTCCACCCTCCTTTGTCTTTCGGGTGACCTTTGAACAATCTCGCCATTAACAAACAGCTCAGCTGCAAAGTGAGAGGAAAAAATGTCAAATACAATCAATATATGATAGTTAAAGAAGAAGAGCACGAAAACTTCAAGCAAAGGGTTTTTTAATTTTCCAACAGAAACTCAATATTAAATAGATATATGAGATTTATAATCCATGTGAAGCAAAATGAAACAAAAATACGAATTATGGAACAAGACAATAACAAATGCAGAAGCCCAGATCATTTTGTTTGTAATCAGGCAATTAAAACTTAAAAAGAAACATAAATTAGACATGTGGTATCATTTATTTGTCCCTTCTGAGAAGCACAATACTGAATACCAAAAATAATCACGTGAAAGCACAGAAGAGTATGTATCTTCTCCAATAACTCTGCAACTCCATAAACTGAAGCACAGAAGAGTACTAAGAGGACTTCAATGTGAGTCCATTAGCATTCAAAGCTATACATTGCGAACTCAAGGCTCGTAGCTTTGCCAAGATGGACTGAGGTAAACGTTTACAAGCTCTTAAGTAGATCATTTCTGTGGCCAAGCTTCCGATGCACAATATTCACTTCATCTCGTTGATAAACAACAAGCATGCGCATAATATGCAGATATTGACTCATTCCATGTTCGAGTAAGCCTATATGAATACATACATATATCACATCTATTAAGTCATCTTCCCGAGCTGCAGCTCCATATTAGAGAATCAGAGTACAGATCCAGAAATAGAGACATTTGACCCGAGTTCATTAGCATTCAGAGCTAAACATTACCAATGGGACTCTTTAGCTTTAACAAGATGGACTGATGCTATCTTCTGATGTAAGTCCATTAGCATTCAAAACTAAATGTTGCCTATAAGGCTTTTTAGCTTTGCCAAGATGGACTACCATGCACTGTCTAAAACGGAACCAGGCATTCCCTATTACACTCTTGCCAAGTATTTGGCAAGAGTACCTAGCTTAGGACAATTAAAACAACTAGAGATCTTAAGAAACATCATAAAAAAGCAAAAGAAAGTATAGAAATGCATGTTAACTGTACTTAACCATTAAACAGGAATGTTTACATGCAGACAACATCAATAGACCAGCATATGGTCTCAGAAGGAAAGATAAATGAAAAGCATATGTCAGAATGGATACAAATGTCCTAAGTAAATCAGCATTTCATGTAAATACTAGCAAAAGTTTTTGCAAAACTACTTATAACTGAAAGGCTTACCTCCATAGTCCTTATATTCGGGATCAACATAAGAATCCGGAAGCACAAAGAGAACACCAGGCAATCCTGTTAACAAGAAAAGAACAAAATTTATATATTACAGAACATACACTTCCAGCAGGAAAAGAAAAAAAAATTAATCCACCAACTGAAGGAAAACTAAAAGCAAGACCTTCTGATAGACCTACACAGTGATATAACACGATTACAATACGAAAATAAGATACGAAGGTGACATTGCTTAAAATATTAACAATAATTATATATGAATTTAACAAAACTAAAAAGATGCATTTAGGTGACATCGCTTAAAATTTTAATAATAACCATACATTGATTTAACAAAACTAAAAAAAAATGTATTTATGTCAACATGATGTCTTTGTGTCAACACGAATTACAGCACGCAATTTTCATATAAAACTAGATTGGAATCCACAAATTTCAGTATTTTGAATATACGAATCGATAGGTCTACCTTCTAGCTTATTTGAGGTCTCCTCATCAATCTCGCAGCCGAATCCAAAGTATCTCTCACAGGAAACATTGTAGATCTTCTTCTTAGCTTCCTCCTCACTAACACAGAGCAATAACAAATAACTCAAACACAATAATCTTAAAAACAAAAGTGTCAAAATATCTTCTTTTCCAACCAAAGCCCATCATTTTCCTCCCATTTTCCCACATTTTCTCAGCACCCAAACACACAAATATCCTGGAAAAGATTAAAAAAAAAAAAACCTGCCAACGACTTTAGCAAGGGTTTGGATATAGCAATCAATCATTTCCTGCTTAGTAGCTCCTTCTCCACCAGGCTTGTCCATAACAATAAGCCAATGCTCATAATCACATCCGGGAAAAAGCGGGGCCATTTCGGTAGGTGGCCGGTCACTGAAGTTTGACCCCGAGTTCAGCGGGGAATAAGCAGAGTTTCCAGAGCGGTTGACGCGGCATCTGATGGAGGTGAAGCGCGTGGGACCGAGAGGGAGAGATCGGACGGCGTGGAAAAGGGGGGTAAGAGGGCGACGAGAGAAGAGGAGAGAAGGGATGCGAGGAGGGTGGGTGATGGAAGCGGTGGAGAGGTGGCGTTTAGGGAAGAGAAAAGAGATAGTGAGGTGGCGCGTGAGGGTGGAGGTGGCGGCACGTGCTAGGGTTTGTGACATTATGAGAGATGGAATTGAGGGTGAAGGGGTGAGTTGTTTTGGATACAGCAAGGATTTTGGCATTTATCTTGATATTTTATCTCCAAGGTTCTGGGCCTTGAATTTGGCCCAATTGCTAAAATGTTTCTCATTTGAAAAAAAAATAATGAAAGAGGACCCAATGTAAAAATATAGTTTAAAAAATAATTATTAATAATATTTAAAATTCATTAATTAAATAAATAAAATATAAATTTAATAAAATTCATTTATTTTGAATTTATTTACACCATAATCATCTGAATCCAACATTTTCTTACCCTATTTTTCAAAAAGTTGTGAAATTTGATAATTTTTATAATATTGGCTGGTGGTACAATTTGTGATTTTTTTTATTATTTAAACATAACACTCTTAAAAAATAAAAAGCAAACTCATAACTGTGATTCCTTTCTCATCCCAAGGGATTCTTTTGTTATTAAAAAAAAAAAAAAACACTGCAGCATCAAATTATCATGAATTATTTATATTACTGATGAGGGTTTCAAATTTATGATTATACAAACGAAGTTAATTGGTTTTTTAAGTAATTAGAAGTAATAATTATTTGAATCAAATTTTATTTTATTTTTTATATTAGATAATATTATAAAATTTTAAATTTTGATTTAAATTTGAATCGATTTTCGAATTTAATTTTATTAATTTGATTCGATTTATCAATTTATCAATTTATCAATTTATTTATCAATTTAAAAAATATATAAATTAATAAAAATATATAATTTAATCCGATTCAATATTTTTTTTATTTTTCACTTTTCGATTCAAAATCCAATCTAAATAAAACTAAATGTTACAATTGTGAATTGATTTTTTCTCACCCTTACATGTAGGGATGTAATCGATCGAATTCGAATTCATACAATATTAAATTCGAGCTCGAACCTGAGCTCGACTTCAAATTCGATAGTCGAAACTTGACTCAACTCGATATATAAATTGAACTACTCAAGCTTGCTAAATTAGATTCGATTAATATGTAAAAATAAATTCGATTTTTATATTCAATAAAAATTTAATTATTTATATTTCGAGTTCGAGATATTTTATTAATTAAAATAGTTATAATATATTAAAATATAAAAATTCGATTAGGCTCACGAGTAATTTGAATCAGATATAAGAATGTTCAAACTCGATTCAATCAATAAATCAAACTATTCGAGTTTGAATTTGATTCGATAATATTTAAACTGAATTCAAATTTTATTTGAATTAAACTCAAATAACTTGCGAAAATTAATATATCATTTAGACTCTCACTTACGTGTAGCTCCAAAGTCTCACTCAAACAGAATACAGCTATATACTCACGGCGAAGACTTATGAGCAGGTCCGAAAAAACTCTTGTATAGCTTCTTCGATTTCTCGGTAAAGAGAAATATGACCAACAGTGGTTCGAATGTATATACAAAGAATTTCTGTTTTTTTTTTTCACTTTTTACTATTAGATAATGTTCCTGTAAGAAGAAAAACGAAGTTTTATCCCACATCACAGCACCAGTTGACTGTTCATTAGCTCCATTGCAGCTTTAGTCTGGAAACCATATGCTCTGACTTCTGCCATTAGAAAAGAATTTTAAGCGAGGGTTTGTCAGTTCATGTGCATGAAGATTTAAGGATCAGAAAAGTTATGAATAATCCCAGCTGAATTTTCACTAACAATGAAACAAATTTAGCATCAATGCAGTTTCATCTCTATGCTAGAAGCAAATACAAAGTTCCTGAGCCATTTATGAAATCTGTTACCAACGTCCTTGTATCACGGTCATGATCAGAGGCGGACCCTTTCCATCAATAAAATTAATAAATCCGTCACTAATATTTTAAATATATTATAAGTAAATACTCTCGAAAAAAAACTTTTGAATCCACCACTGAATATGATCCCTTTATTAAATGGCAGTAGACTACAAGAGAGTTAACCACCCATCGGATCAGAAAAGCTAAAACTATTGCACTTTAATAGGAAAATTTTCCAGATTGTATTAGAACTTGGAAATCATTTAAACTATTAAAAGCAAAGAAAAAACCTACATCTGCATTCAACACCAGTTGTTGTCTTAGACCATTTTATGTGTATTTCATATCAACAAGAAACAATGGGGAGATCAGTTATGTTTTAATATGAACTAAAAGAAACCAAAGGCAACTAACCTGCTCGGTATAAGGCAAGTACTTCCCATCAAATGTCACAACGACTCGTTCTTTCCCATCCACGCCTTTAACCTTGTCAACGGAGCAGTAGAAGTCTATAGCTGACATGCTAAACACAAAACGAACATGATTTAGTGAATGGATATATGAAAATTCAAATCATTTGGCCACAACTTGTTCAAGCTTTCCATGTTTGAAAGTTGAAACTCAACCAGAATTTTCAATTACTTCCAGGTGTATCTAATGTATCTTAGTATAAACCAAAATCCCATATCTTTTCTGATCAATCATTCAATTCCAACTAGCAGAACCATTTTACATTAAGTCCCTTGTGCTACCTTGGTTCCTGTCCTAATTGTACACTTTTTGAACTCAACTTCCACATCCTATTTTAATTTGTAATCAATCATCCCTAATGCAAACACCCAAAGACCAAAAGCTTTAAAAGGTTTTTTTCACTCAGGAAACGAAGAAAACAGTCAGAAATCAGCTTCCATTTCTAAATTCAAATCCAAACAACCAAAAGAAATTCATTGCAATAAAATGACCTAAAGGACAAACTTAAAAAGCTTACACGCCATCAACTAACTCTTCATTGATAATCTCCTTTATGCTCTCACCAAAATGCATAACATCCTCATTCAACCTGAAATAAAAAATGGGTATTAAAAAAAATCCTCGTTTTTTTAAATATTTTATGTGAATTACGTAAGAAGAAGAACCTGTAAACATTGTGTCCTTGGATAAGGTTAGGATCATAGGACCACAAGGGTGGCTTCATCATCTCACGGAGAAGCTCCTCAGGGAGGTCAGGCAAGGCTGCCGGTAGCTTAGGGGCGGTTTCAGGCTTGAGCTGAGCCTGGCGTTTAAGGAGCTGAGCTGCATAGACGTTGGTCAACCCAGTTTCCTCTGCTATTTGATTGTAGGTTTTGCCTGATTTTTGCTTCATGGTTTGGAGTCAGCTGCTGATGTTGGCTTTTAAAAAATAATTTTTGATAAATTTAGAATTTAAATTTTAATATTTAGAATTTTTTAATTTTTAATTTTTTATAAAAAAAAAATTTTGATTCAAAAATTATGGAAGACTCAAAGTGATAAATAGTGTAAACAATTTCCATTTTAAAAAGATTTCATTTTGTCTCATATTAAGTTTTTTACATTTTGAATTTTTCGATATTAAAAATTTTTAAACTTTTTTTATCAATGAGAATTAGAATAAAGTTTAAATTTATTACTTTACTTACAATAATATATAATTTATTTAATTTTATCATTGTATTTTTTTAATTTAATTAAAAAATTATTACTTAAAAGTTAAAATGCTTTAGAGAACATCTCTTTATTTTTCAACAAATATTCTTTAATTTTAAACTTTTTATCATACTCAATCAAAGTAAAAAGTACAATAACAAAACTACCCCTATCAAAAAATAAATTATAAACTTCATCCATCACTATAAATAAAATAATAAATTTGTTATAAATGAGTTTCAACAATAAATTGGGTTTTGTTGGGCTTATTAGCCCAATTATTTTAGAAGGGTTTTTTTATAGGTCTTTTGGGCCATCTCAGCCAATATTTGCAGCCACACAATGTGAAGCAACGATCGTTTCTTCTCAAAGCAAATGATTGTATAGAATATGATTATGTATATAAATTATTAAACCAATTATTTTTAAAAGATAATTATGATTTAATATTAATATTTATAATTTTTTTTGTTTTAGTGTCAATTTTTAATTTTGCCTGATTTGAACTATATCGAAAAAATTAAATTGAGAAAAAAATTGAAGTGATGATAATCTAATGTGACCAACCACCCAAATTATTGGAAAAATTGGATTTCCAACAACCTTGGCATTGGTGAAAAATATCTACCAAGGGAACAAACATCCACAAAGCTTTTCTCCATCACAAAATTGCAAGAGATTGCCAACATTCACATCCATTATTAAATTATACCAAAACTTTCTTTTAATCATGACATAAGCCTATGAATTTATTTCTATACATAAATTTTTTTGGTTAAAAGAATAAAAAAATCTTTAAATTATAATTAAAAAATATTCAAATCTTTATTTTTTATTATAATCAATCAATTCCTTCATTTTTTATCTAATTCAGTTTTTATTTAATAAAAAAAATAACATTGTTAACTTTTTATTGATTAAAATAATTTTTTTATGAAATCAATAAAATAAATTAAAATGTATTATTTAATATAATTAACATATATAAATAAAATAAAATAAAATATTTTTATTTTCTATGTTTTTTATTTAAAATGTTTTTAAAGATTCAATTGACTATAATTAAAAAATTATTTAATTAAATTTTATTACGTAATTAAATTTCGTTCATTTAAAAATTCAAAAAAACATTTTTTAACCTTGCAACTAAATTTTTTTTCTATTTATTCCCTTTTGAAGTCCCTATCATCATGCAAAATGCCAAAAATATATTGCCAATATTCACATTTTTATCGGTATATTTTGACTTGAGTCTAAATCTCTTTTAAAATGATTTTAAAAATCATGATTAACGCCTACCCATGAATTTATTATTTTATTTTCAAAATATTTCCAGTAAATCTTATCAACTAATATGTTTAGGTGGTTCAAAAATCTTTTGATATTTTTTTAATTTTAATTTATTTTTAAAATTTTTCATATTTTATTATTTATCTAATTAAAAAAAATTACGCATATAAATTTTTTCAAACTCATAATTTTTAAATATCAACTCTAATAATATATAAACCAATCGAACTATAGTTGACAACATCATTGAATTGTATAAGAAAATTACTTTCTTATCTCTTTCGATACATCCAAAGGA